AACAGCCTTGCCTCAGTGGCAGGAAACATTGGCAAGCAGTGTAGTCTATGCCATCAGAACCAACAGGAGTGCTGACTGGTTACAAAAGGCACAACCTGGGATTGGTTACACTCAAAATACCGACTTCTGCGCATGGGCCACGAAGTTTCAATCGCACTGTACATGTGCGCCCACACGTGGTATTTTGTGGAAGAGCCACACTCACGGGGCCACAGAGCCACATGTGGCTCGCGAGCCGCTTTTTTGACCGCTGGGTTAGAGGGTTATCCTTCCTCTACCTTTGAGTTCTTGCCTGTTGAGCATCACCCTTAAGCTGAACACCCTAGAGGGGCCAGCACAATTCACAAAATCATTAGGTTACATTCTCTGCCAATGTATAGCCAAATGTTCTCGTAACTAAAAACACAGCACCATTTCCTGGAGAATCCATGCTACCTCTGGGATTGGCTGTGTGTGTGTGTGTGTGTGTGTGTGTGTGTGTGTGTGTAGGGGGCAGCTTTATTTTTAATAAAATCAAAATGGAAAATTACCCCAAAGGTGCAAAAACAGAGACTCAAACAAAACCAAAACTTCAGGGGTGTGAGTGTGCTGGCCAGAGGCAGGACTTTCCAAAGGTGAACTGTGTTGTGGGCCCAAAGCATCATGGGCTTCTCCCGAATACAGAAGTAGGTGCAGATGCAGTGAGCCAGGTTCCTGGGTATGGGGAGGAGCAGGCTGGAGAGACCTCTGGATGGAGATAGAAGAGCCTGGCCAGCTCCTCTCAGGGAGACACAGAACCCAAGTTCCTCTCAGGACCTTGCCTGGGGCTCCTCTCTGCCAACTCCTGGGGAAAACAGAGCGTGCCCAAGCTGCAGTGGGAACATCCCAGGAAAAGGCAAGAGAGCACAAGGAGGGGTGGGCTGTGCAGGCAGAGGCCCCTTGTCAGGGTAGCAGTGGTGGATGGTTCTATTTTTGTTTTCATAATCCTCACAGGAGGATATTTTTCCATTGATTGTTATTCAGAGTGGAAGAGTGGGGATGGGGTGGGGAGAGAGGGAGGGAGGGAGGGAAGAAGGGGGGATGAAGGGAGAGAGAGAATATCTTGGAAGTAAGAGACACACATCAACTGGATTCCACCTGCATGAGCCCCCAATAGTTCCCAGGTATTAAACCTGGAACCCAGGTACTTGCCCTTGACCAAGGATTTAATTCACCCTCTTCATGTGTGTAGGCTGACACTCTTACCATTAAGCGACAGTGGACAGGCCATGGTGGATGTTGACCCAATAAGGATAAAAGAGGAGCATTTTGTTTCCTTAGATCAGTGATTCCCAAAGTGGGTACTACCACCTCCCCGTGGGCACTGCAGCGATGGGGGGGGGGGGGGGTGGTGGGTGACAGCCACAGGTGCATTTGGGGGCGATGAGTAACTGCTATTAAAATTAAAAAAAATTTAATTTCCAGGGGCTGAGTAATATTTTTTTTCTGGAAAGGGGGCAGTAGGCCAAATAAGTTTGAGAACACTGCCTTAGATTGATAAATATCTACAATTTTAGTGGCTAAACTTCAAGACACTTGCATCCCACAAGGGGACCCTGAGTCTCAGGAGCCTGCAGCCCATCACGCTGGGCAGACAGGGCATCAGCCTCTGCAGAGACAGCTCCTCTCCTTCCCTGGGCAGGTCAATGGCTGGAGCACCTCATTACAGCGGCCGAGTTTGGGTATGACTGAGTCTCAAGTTTTCTTGAAGGACATGCCAACTCCCAGGTCATGACTGCCCTGGTCACTTATGTTCCATTTCCCACTAACCATGGCCCCAAAGAACAGAGCGGACACCAGCTTGAACTGGGACTACAGCGGCCTCAGGTCCACACACATGGTCCCGCACCAACTCTCCCTGGCAACTGCCCTGGCTTATACCTGCCCATACAAACCTGCCCAGCTGCCACTGCTGCTCCCAGCCTTGACACCTGAGAGGAATCTGAGCTCCTCAACCACATGAATTCTGAAACAGCCCAGTCTCCAGCCCTGGCTGGAAGGTGCGGAGACCTCAAGGGGAATGTCAAGACCCAGACCTACACCCGGCCCCTTAGGTTTTAGTCTCAGGGAGCACAGATGTCATCACCCTGGGTGGGTTCTCCACACTGACATCAGGGGCACCTCCCACACTGTTCCCTGGGTGATTGCACGGTTAACCCTCATGAGGACCCTGGCTGCATGTCACCATGGGGTCCCTGAGCTGTGCTGGTGTTCACATGTGTGTGGACTGACTGGGAGAATAAAACATGCATATTGATTGATTTGAGAGAGACATAGGGAGAGATAGAAGCATTAATTTGTTGTTCCTGTAACTTCCTACAGTGGATTATGGTGGGCCTGCCAGGGTCATACATTTTCTTGCATGTGCCCTGACTGGAGGTGGAACCTGCAGTCTTGGCGTTATTGAGATGATGCTCTGACCCACTGAGCTATCTGCGCGCATCCTGACATATCGGGTGTTTTACGTTAAGTAACCCACTAATGTACCTACGGATAAATAGATACAAGAACAACCATCATGGTAGATGATGGAAGGCTAGAATAGGATTCATGGGCTTTCATAAGTGTTTTCCTCATATGGATAGATTTCAAATAAGCTATTTCAAAGACAGAATGGGTCCTCGCATCAGTTATATTATTTTCCAAGAAAGAAGCACTGAGGAGGGCAGGAGGAACTTGGTTTCAGGAATGCAGGCATGAATGGAAACGTCAAAAGGGCATGTTTAAAAAGTGTACATGTTAGCCCTCCCTGGTTTGGCTCAGTGGACAGAGTGTTGGCCATTCAACTGAAGGGTTGCAGGTTGACTCCGGTCAAGTGTATGTACCTCCATTACAGAATTCATCACAGGCACAGGTTAGGATGTGTACAGGAGGCAACCAGGTGATGTGTCAACCTGAATGGTTTAAATCTCTGTCTCATAGAGAGTAAATCCAGGCTCAGAGACTGAATGTGGATTACCTGATGATAGAGTAAATAAAAGGCAGGACTAGAAGTCAAAACCATGTGTCTACAACAACGGAGGTCTGGCCTCTAATGTTAGGCTGAGATTAACACCTAGGTCTCCTAGAGAGTAGAGTTGCTACTTCATAACCATTAGGATTGGCTAGATGTGACACCCATAAAGCTTTAGTGGCTTTGCATATAGAAGTTATCTTTCTTGTTCATACCATATGTCCATTCTGGTTCTCCTGGGACTGGAATAAAGGAGGAGCCACCCTGCAGGTACCGGTTGACATTATCAGAGATGGACAGAGAGGGTGGCCAGTCTCAGTGTTTCCAGTCTTCTGTTAGTGGTGACAGGCTTCACTCCCACATTTCTTAGGTCAAAGCACATCGCAGCGCTGCAGCCAACCTCAGGGAGTCGCAGCAGAACCTGGTCTACTTGATGGGCCTCATTAAGGCGACCATATGGTGCCAACGTCTTTTGGGCTGTGCAAGGGCAAAGGAGAGGAGTGGGGACTGGTAGTCAGTCAGGATTTTGTCCCCAAGCTGCCCCAAAACCATCACTTTCAAGATTCAAAGGAGTGAACATCCAAATACGGAGTTGGTAAGATGTCATGGGCAGCAAACTCAACACCAATTCTGAGTGTGACTTTGGGAACATCCCTGGCTGCCTGGATTCCCCTACTTTGGTCAAGGTCAAGACCCACATGTTAAGAGTGTTTACTGGGAAGGGTACAGGACTGAAAGCATCCCAGCATCCCTGTTCTTTTCAACTAACATCAGTCAGCACCTGCTTCCAAGTCTCCTTTCTTGTGCATGGCCCTGGTGTGAGCTCCCAGTGAGGATGGTGAAAAATGCTGACGTTGACATCAATGGTGATCCTGTGCTTTCCATTTGTTCTGTGTATGAACCTGTGCTAAAGGGTCCCTGGATGGTTCTCCACACTGGTCCTAATTCGTCCTCCTGGCCCCAGAGTTGGGTGGGCCATGCACACCCAGTAGGTGACCAGAGCCAAGAATCCCAACAGTGACGCTCCATGAAGCCCCAGGCACCTTCCTCTATTAGTTGTCAGCCTAGCTTTGACATGGCAAGGGACACCCCTCTCCTGGGATGCCCAGTTCCTCATTACCAGTGGGGACTGAGGAGCCTAGAAATCTTCCCCCTCACCTTTGCCCCACATGAACTCATCCTCATATTCCTTTCCAAGTTTCCTGGATCCTCCAACTTCTTCACAAAGACCAGTGTCCTTCACAAACGTTACCAGTCCACACTCTATATCTCCTGTCTGTCATCAGAGTCTTCCTCAATTCCCCACCTTCCCACAGTCTGGAATTCTCTGAACTGACCCTATGCTTAATCCATCCTTGAGACCTGAGATGGGACCTCCAGAAGGACACCAGACGCCTGGAAGGGAAGAAGGGGCTCACCTGGGGGTGGGGAACAGGAACATATTGATGTAGAGGAGGGTGCCTCTACAATGCCTCTCCAGAGATTGCCTATGCACTTGCCCATTGTGGGGGTGCACAGACTCAGAGAGAAACATACAGATAACCCAAGCACAGAAACACGCTGGTGCAGAACACTCCCAGACTCTGCTGGGCGCTCAGGTTCTGGGCTTATGACCAGGTTCACATAGACCCACACTATAGACATGGGCAATACCATCAGGAACACACACACACACACACACACACACACACACACACAGAAATAGAAAATTGGGGCCACCCAGACAGTCCCAAAGGACACACACACACACACACACACACACACACACACACACAATGGACACTACCCCATATGCAAACGGGAACCACAAAGTTATTTAAACTTTATTTCATTGCCTTGGTGAGTGGTATAAAATAAGCCATTATCGGACAAAGACTGATTTTTCTGACATTATTACAGTATATGCTTTCCAAAGCACAGAAAATTTGGGGGACCCCACCATATCTGTTCATCTCGCCATGATGATAGATCACAACTTTCGTATCAAATCATCCAGAGATTGAAATTAAAAAAAAGAAAAAGAAAGCAATGAAAGAAAAAACATCTTTACTAAAGATCATAAACCAGAACAGAAGACAGTAAGCAATTTGCAGGCTGGTGAATTAGAAAGCAAAACAATTCATAAAAACAAAAAGTGAGACCCACAATGTCCCTGAAAATGGTAACAGTTCTTAGCTTAGGATGGGTGCTCTGGAGAAACCCTAGGTCAGAACCATTCCCTAGTCAGAGAGAAAGGAATGAACATCCAGTCCAGAACTTGAAGTAATCACAGTTTTCTCAAGCACAAGTAAGAACACAGAATACATTTCCCCTGAGCACACAGGGTTTGTGACTGATGCACGCTCTTCAGGTGAGCCAGGTGGTAGAGATGAAATCTCTTCGGCCACAAATGCTCACTGTGACATCAATTGGGTAGTAGGTCTGGGCATGTGAGCAAGTACAAATGCAGATCCTTCAATCCTCACTTGTACCTGAAATTTATGAGGAATATATCAGAGTGCATGTTCCATTAAAAGGGGTTTAAATTCAGAAAAACAGGTCCCAAAGAGTCGCCTTCAGTGTTCTTATACTAAGTGAGAAAAGTAAAACATTTGCTGCACATTTAACACTTCTCTCCAGTGTAATCTCTCAGGTGTCTAATAATGCTAGTTTTGGGATTAAAAGATTTCCCACATTCAGTACACTCCTATGGCTTCTCTCCAGTGTGAACCATGAGGTGTGCAGTGAGGTGAGATATCAGACAAAAGGACATCCCACATTCTTTACATTTACAGGGCTTTTCTCCAGTGTGAACTCTCTCATGTTGTTTAAGGGTAGACTTATCATTGAAGGACTTCCCACAATCACAGCACTCATACGGCTTGTTGCCACTGTGAACCCTCAGGTGTCTACAAAGGTGAGATTTTAGGCTAAAAGCCTTTCCACATTCAGTACACTCATGGTTTTTCTCCAGTGTGAACTCTCTGGTGTCGTTTGAGGCTATACTTATTACTGCAGGATATTCCACAACGACAGCACTCATATCGCTTGCTGCCACTGTGAACTGTCAGGTGCTTATTAAGGTGGGATTTTCGGCCAAAAGACTTACCACATTCAGTACACTCAAATGGCTTCTCTCCAGTATGAACTCTCTGGTGTAGTCTGAGATAAGACTTATCACTGAAGGATTTTCCGCAATCACAGCACTCATATGGCTTGTCGCCACTGTGAACTCTCAGGTGCTTAGTAAGGCTGGAATTTTGCCTATAAGACTTCCCACATACAGTACACTCATATGGCTTATCTTCAGTATGAACTCTCTGGTGTTGTTTGAGGTAAGACTTATGACTGAAGGATTTTCCGCAATCACAGCACTCATATTGCTTGTCGCCACTGTGAACTCTCAGGTGCTTAGCAAGGCTGGATTTTTGGCTAAAAGATTTCCCACAGTCAGTACACTCATATGGCTTCTCTCCAGTGTGAACTCGGAGGTGTATAGTGAGTTTAGACCTTTGACGAAAGGACATCCCACATTCTCTACACTCATATGGCTTCTCTCCAGTGTGAACTTGGAGGTGTGCAGTGAGGTGAGATATTAGACGAAAGGACTTCCCACATTCTTTACACTTACAGGGCTTTTCTCCAGTGTGAACTGTCTGATGTTTTTTGAGGGTAGACTTATATTTGAAGGACTTCCCACAATGACAGCACTCATACGGCTTGTTGCCACTGTGAACTCTCAGGTGTCTAGTAAGGTGATATTTTTGGCTATAAAAGCCTTCCACCATTTTTTACACTTATAGGGCTTTTACTCCAGTGTGAACTCTCTGGTGTTGTTTGAGGTTAAACTATTTACTGATAGGATTTTCCCCAATGACAGCCCCTCATATCGCTTGTTGCCACTGTGAACTCTCAGGTGCTTAGCAAGGCTGGATTTTTTGGCTAAAAAGACTTCCCACATTCAGTACTCTCATATGGCTTCTCTCCAGTGTGAACTCGGAGGTGTACAGTGAGCTTAGACCTATCACGAAAGGACTTCCCACATTCTCTACAATCATATGGCTTCTCTCCAGTGTGAACTCTGAAGTGTTCAGTAAGGTGAGCCCTTTGACAAAAGGACTGCCCACATTTTCTACACTCATACAGCTTTGCTTCAGTGTGAACTCTCTTATGTTGAATTAGGTTCAAGATTTGTCTAAAAACTTTCCTACATTTGTGACACTCATAAATCAGGTCTCCAGAACAGTCACCGTGACTTTGAACAACTTTCAGGTTGTGGCTGGCAGCATCTTTACATTCATCCCAATGGTGATGACTTTTTCCATCAAGAAATTTCTGTGAAATCTCACTGCCACAGGGTAGCTCTTCAGTGTTGAGAGTGGTCTGGTGCTTGGGAAGCTCTGAGTTGTATTGTAAGTCTTCCCCAACCTCCCTGCTGGCTGAAGGCACCGAAGATAAGTAGAAGTTGGACCTGCTCACAAAGGAGGCCCCGTCCATAGCTTCTTTCCACCGCTCGTCTCCACATTCATTCCTCTGTTGCTCATGAGAGTTTGCACTGAAACAGAATTCTCCAACACGTGCATCACTACAGAAGGCTTTCTGCTCAAAGTCTGCTGCATGTGACCCACTCAGGTGCAAAATACCTTTTAACACAGAGAAACACCGCTTACACAGAGGGATCTTCTGGGTGGCTGGAGCTGTCTTAGAAGCCCTGACCTGCGACTCTCCTTTTATAGATACACTCTGAGCAGAACAGGTCTCATCACCATTGATTTTATGCCAACAACCTGAAAAGCGAGAAAGGGTAAGGAAATGAATGCTGAATGTGGTGACAGGGGGAAGTCCCAGTTACACATCACACGTTGGTTCCATACAATTGTCAGAAAATAAGGGATGTGCAGGAAGGATTAGTAAGAGGCTTTTGTCACTTTCTGGGCTAATAAAGATTACAAAACAGGGAGGCCTCACCAGAAATATGACACAAAAATGGAAAGCACCACATGGATTTGAATATGGATTTCAAGCTAATACTTCAACTTAAAGAATTCAGCATGGCTTGTCTGCTGGGGACAGGCACAAGCTTTGCAAAAGATGGGTTAGGTCTTACTCCAAGTAAAATTCAATAAAGGAGTAGCTGATTTCGAGGACTAATTAGCACGTATGTGCACCTCATAACACATGTGCAAGTCAATGCTGCAGAATATTACAGAGGCACACGTGTAGAGGAACAGGTAACAAAGAGGTGAGCAGTCAGCACTGGTCCAGAGCAACACAGCTTGCTATAATATTCAGGGAAGAGAATATAACAAACAATTGATTGAAGGTCTCACAAGAACAGCCTCTGTTTCATGTAAGTAAAGACCATAGCATGGAACAGGTCGCCACAAAGAACCTTCACCTAGAGAAAGATGGCAGAAGTTGAAGCCATGCACATGGAAACTGTCAGCCTCCCATGAAGAGAGAGTGCAAGCTGGGACCCATGAAGCTCACTGCAAGACTCCTGACTTTCTGTTTCCTGTACATTTTGTGGTAACAGGAGTTAGAGGGATGTTCATGGAGTCCTCTGCTCAGGACTCACCATCCAGCTCATTCATGTCAGTCACAGCACATTTCACAAGACAGTGGGGAAAATTACCAGAGGCCATGTTCTCGCTGTGGGAGAGAGAAAGCTACCCCTGAGGAATAAAGGCAGACAGGTCATCACCTCAGGACACTGGGAGAACATCAGGTCTTACCTACAAATGACACAAGTGAAAATATTTCCAGCATCACATCGCAGTACAGAAGTCTCTGAGCCTCATCAAGGAGCCCCCATTCCTCCTGAGAGAAGACAATGGCCACATCCTCAAAGTTCATAACCTGTCATAATGGGGACAGTACAGCCCATGATCAGCTTCACTCCTAAGATTCTAGGTCTGTCATACTCCCCACCCTCCACACCCATCTGCTCTGTCCACTCCAGAGAAAATACCAGGCCTTCATCCCATGAAAGCCACTGTTTTCTTATGTTTATACTGACATTTTGTCTTCCTACTCTAATAAAGGCATTTGAGCAGATAAGACCCCTGAGCTCTGGACCTCCCCTGTACGCCACACTGACTTTTATCAACAGAGTGGTTGTTAAAACCATAGGTGAAAGAGAGATGCTGGCCATAAAGATATTGTGAGTGATTTGATACTGGTGTTGTCAGTCAATACCCTCAGACTGTTTCTCAAAGACGCGAAATACATGGCATCACACTGCACCCTCTTGACCCCAATTGCAAAGTGCTGAGGCCATAGCTTTGCACTACCTGTTGCACAGAGTTCTTTGAACAACACTTCTCTCACACAGCTTCACTCCCAGAAGCACAACGTCAAAGGTAATGCAAATTTGTTTCCTAATCACCTTTTTTCCCCAAAATTACAGTTCACCATGTCCATAATCTCTTACCCCTTACTCTTCTCCCCTGCCCATGCCAGTGGACATTTTGAAGCCTGGGGAACACTGATGTATGCTATGTCAATCCTATTATCCAGGGTGTCATCCCCAACAACAAAAGGCAGGTGGTTAGCTAAATGGCACCTAAGCTCTGTACCTTGAATATAGTGCCAAATCAACCCTCTTTACAGGCAATTACCCTAAAATTCACCTCACTGGATCATCCAGACACCACCAGAAATGGGCTTTCCGGTCATTCACTCTTATGTCAATGTCAGGGTGCTGTGGCCATCAATTCACATTCCTTCTTCAAGTGCAAATCACTCTTTACCACACCACTCTCACACCTGTACTCCCTTAGCCTCAGCCCCCATAGTCCTCTCCTTAATGTCTTATTACTTATCAAGTGTTGTCCAGCGAATGCTTGCTAACATCTCTCACTTAACCATGAACTCTCCTTGACACTTGACAGGACAACTTCTGTCCCTATGCTGTGTTGTGACCCACAAATACTGGCCACAGCAGGAAAGCCAGTCCTCAGGCTCACACTGTCCCTTCTGAGCTATTACTACCATTACCAACCTGACCATGATTCCCTGTATGAAAGTGATCCACAGTCCTGGCTGATGTGTCTCAGTGGGTTGAGTATAGACCCATGCACTGGTGAGGTCACATGCCTCGGTTGTGGGCTGGATCCAGAGTAGGGGCTGTGCAGGTGGAAACTGATCATTGTTTCTTGCTCATCACTGTTTCTCTGTCTCTCTCCCTCTCCCTTCCTCTCTATATCTAAAATCAATATATACATACACTGGGTAGCCAGATTATTATGATCACCTGACATCTGTAGGCAAATTAGCTATAATTTTCCCCTGAAGTTGCTAGAGGGCCAGACCATTATAAATAGGTAAGCAGTTTGTTTGCCATGATAGTAGAAGTGATTTTTTTCTAAGGATATGTGTAAACAATGCGATTTAACAGCCTTTGAACGTGGGATGATTGTTGGCACTTGGAGCCATGGAGAGAGTATCAGCAAAACAGCTGAATTCGTTAAATGTTCCAGAGCAGCTGTTGATAAAGTGTTTAAAGACTGGACTGTCAGCCGAAAATCTGGGTCTGAACGTGCGAATTGTGGCCGTCAGCGAATAGTCAATGTTAGGCCAAGACTGGTACAAGACAGCAGAAGGGCAACAGTGGATTAAATTTATGCAGATCTTACTCAGGGATCCTCTCAAATGAACTCTGAACGCACAGTAATAATCTGGCCACTCAGTGTGTGTGTGTGTGTGTGTGTGTGTGTGTGTGTATAATATACACTGAGTGGCCAGATTATTATAATCTCTGAACACATAATAATCTGGCCATTCTGTATACATATATTTAAAAAACATACCTGCACGCTCCTAAATCTGCTCACTCTTCACTCCAAGCCTCTGCACATTCTGGAACCTAGGCCCTGGCAGTCCTCCCACTCATTGCACTGGTTGCTAAAAACAAGGTCCACGTCATGAAGCCCTAGTCCTGGCCTTAGGATTCTGGGCTTAGTATCTGTTCAAACTCCCCAGGTCCAAGGGCTACAAGAGTGGCTGACAGTCCCAGGACAGCACTATCTCAGACGCCACAAGTTTGTCAGGCCCTGAAATAAGTTCCACAAACCTTGTACACCTAATCAATTCTGCATTTGCAGGAATTTGTGGAAAGGAAATGGTCTGTAGAGAGCCTGGCAAACACCGCCAGGATCTAGGGATTAAGGCTGCTCTGTACCCTTGCCCAGCCCATAGGTCAGGTGCCCTCCAGATGCCTGTATTATTTCAGGGCTCAGTCCTCTGTGCTCACTCTTGTCACTTACCTTATCATTTACAGGACTTCTCCTTCCTGTCCACAGCTGCTGTCCTCTGTCTTCTAGTCTTTTCTTCCTCTGAGCAATGATAGTTAAAGTTAGAACCCTAAATCAGAAAATGTTCCCCCCCTTTTTTCACAACCATCTATTGTTAAGTCTGATCAAATAATTGAATAGGTACCCCCTCCCCTGGGAACTTACCTTTATGCCATTTCACAATGGACATTCTACTTGCTTGGACCACATTCCACTTGCTAAGACTGTTATCTCTCCCCTCCAGCATTTCCCAGAATGCAGACCTAAACAGAGAATTCTCTGACCAGAAATAGCCCACCTTAGAGTCCTATAAAAATCTGACTCCCTTGCCCTGACCGGTTTGGCTCAGTGGATAGAGCCGTCGGGCTTGTGGACTCAAAGGTCCCAGGTTCGATTCCGGTCAAGGGCATGTACCTTGGTTGCAGGCACATCCCCAGTAGGAGGTGTGCAGGAGGCAGCTGAATTGATGTTTCTCTCTCATCGATGTTTCTAACTCTCCATCCCTCTCCATTCCTCTCTGTAAAAAAATTAATAAAACATATTTTTTTAAAAAATCTGACTCCCCGTCTTTGGGCGCTGGTGCCATTTTGGGGCTCAGCCCATTTGATACCCAGATGACCTAATAAATTCATAATTCTTCACCCTTTCTGGCCTTGTGTGATCCTCCTTCGGTGACCCTAACATTTGATAGCAAAACAGGGGAGGGTTCTATAGCGATGGGGAACCATCGCTCTGGCTTCAGTCACCCAAAGTTTGCTACTCGGAGGACAGTAGGCAGTGGCAGCTCAACCTGGGCTTACCTCCAAATTCTATTGGGGTGACTCAATTACAGGCCTCAATTAGACCTCCCTCCCTTATCAACCATCCTGAGCCAGCCGATGACTATGCCAGATCGGGAACCTCTCCTTCTCCATTGCTGACCCTCCATCCCATACCGGCCCATCTTCTCTAGGTGAGTGACTATCCACAAATTCACTCACCTCGAGTCTTCTGCCCACTCTCTCAAAATGACTTCTCGAAAGTTTCTCAGCGTAAAAGTCCTAGCGCTAGGCCAGAAGGAAGACTCCGCAGCCATTTGGCTTTGGATCTTTATGGAGTGGGGGCGCCAAGTTCAGAAGGTCGTCTCCCATTTCCCATGGTGATTTGTTTAGCTGCGGGGATGCGTGCCCTGGTCACCTCTGGGTTTCTGGTCTGTCAATCACGCTTCCTCTCTCATGGGCCACGCCACATTCCCTCTGTACACTCATGGGGGAGATCATGCCCAACCACCTCATTTTTTTTGTAACACTGTTTGGCCACAATATAAACTAGATCAGTGATGGTGAACCTATGACAGGCGTGTCAGAGGTGACACGCGAACTCATTTTTTTGGTTGATTTTTCTTTATTAAATGGCATTTAAATATATAAAATAAATATCAAAAATATAAGTCTTTGTTTTACTATGGTTGCAAATATCAAAAAATTTCTATAGGTGACACAGCAACAGAGTTAAGTTAGGGTTTTTCAAAATGCTGACACGCCGAGCTCAAAAGGTTTGCCATCACTGAACTAGATGATAAGTCCCAATGGCCTAAAAATGGGACTTTTAACTTTAACACATTGCAAAATTTAGATAATTTCTGTCACGGCAATGGAAAATGGTCAGAGATTCCCTACGTCCAGGCCTTTTTCACCTTCAGTCTCAATCCTCTCTCTCAGTTCTGCTCTATCCATTAGACCTTTCTCCTTCACACAAAACATCATACCCCTAACATTTCTGATGCTGAATGTACTTTTGACCCAGCAGACCATGAACGTCCATCTTCTTACACAACCCTTCCCTCACTTGCAGTAGGTTCCCAAATCCAGACCCTCCTAACCAGCAACCACCTTCTCCCCAGATCCTGAAAGGCGAAATCCCAAGAACTTGAGCTCCAATACAGCCTTTTCCACCTAACACTTGCTCTCGGGCCACCCTAAGACTGCCTTCCTCAACAGCTGCTTCTATTCCTACGCCCATTCTACCCAAGGGAGGGAGCAGGAACTGAGGGTATTGGCTGGGTACACATCCCATTTTCCATGTCTGACCTCGCACAGATTGAGAGGCATCTCAGGTATTTTTTCACCAACTCAACCACCTTTACTAAGGAAGTTAAGTACCTGGTCCAGTCCTATGGTCTGACCTGGCATGACATCAGAGTCATCCTGTCGTCCTCGCTCACCCCAGAGGAGAAGGAGCACATCTGACTAGCAGCTCAGGACCATGCTGTGCCCTCCATAGACAGGACTCGGTGGCCACCCCAGAGGGCGCTATCAGGACAGCTCTCCAGGGCACTGGCTCTGTAGCCTGTCTCATTGTCAAACTCAAAAGGCTGCCCATAAGGCGGTCAATTATGACAAACTGAATGAAATCACTCAAGGCCCTGACCAAAACCAAGTTCTCCTCCTCTCTGGCCTCACAGATGTCTTACACAAACTTACCACCTTAGAACCCACCTCCCCAGAGGGAGCCCTCCTTCTGAACAGCCATTCTATATTCCAATCAGCCCCCGACATACACTATAAACTTTGAAAAGTAGACACA